AGACCAGTACTTCGGGCTTTTCTTATTCAATAGCAGTATAAATTTAGAGAGCTTAGTTTCTCAAAGAAATAACTGAGATAATTCTCAACTTCCATTTTTTAAAATGTCTTCACTAATTTTATGGTCTAGCACAGTGTTTCTTTCTTCCATATTCATATAATTGGAGTACTACTTACYATTCCACTTTTTGAGAGTAGCCATTCTAACAGCTGCGTTCATGCAGAAGATCTTATTGTTGGATGGTCCACTAAAATTCTGATGCAAGCTTTTTAGATTCCAGTGTGCCTTATGCTCACTGGAAAAAATTGATGTGCATCTATTTTAGAAATAAAAAGGGATCTGTGATTGTAACCATTTTTCTTCACTAATATTTGAGATTTTAGCCCATTACAATGTTTGCACATCAATGTGAAAACACTCCTTTTTGTTCTAGGGAGATTTGCACCTGCACAGTTACCAGTGCTTTCAATACTTTCAGGTTTCAGATGTAGTCCATTGAATGGAAAAATTAATATCAGGACAAATTACTTAAAGAAAGAATTGGTTAGGTCTGGTGTTATTAGTAAAGTGAGCTGGGTGAGAGAGCTCAGGAAGTGTTAAACTGCTACTTTGGCTTTCAGTGGTGGCCTATATTTCCCTGTTAATTTTTTGGTACTGTCTAAGTAAAAGTTCCACTGTCACCAACAGCTATTTGCATTTTTAGAGAATGTTGGAAAATTCCTCTAAGGGATTAAGGGGTTACCTTAAGATTTAACACCTCTTTCACTCTGCATGGCCTTAGAAAACCACTTATTTTTTTCCGCCTTGGAGTAAATACTCATTTATATCTTAATCTTCCTCTGTGTGTACAGATAAATTAGCATTTAAACTACAGGCAATTTAGAGTTAAATAATATATTTCAAACCCAAATCAATCTTCCTTTATTTATATTAACACTGGACTTGGGCATTTTGTTCCAGTAATTTTGCATATTGCTCAAATCAGAAAAATCTTCAAGTGCATTCTACTTATCTCTTGGTAGATATTTTTTTTTTATTCAGTTTTCCAATTTGTGTGCCTCTAATTCCTTTACAGTTTTTAGAAGGACTCAAAACAGGAGTATTTATTTATTTGGTGTATCCATAAATGGAGGGAGGCTTATATTCTGCTTTTATTTATTTTTATTTTATTTTTTAAAATTATCTCTCTTTATATCTGCTCTTTGGTGGATGCTTGTGTATAATTYCAGTGTCACACACATTCTGCACACAAGTCCCTTTTGTAATCTATGCCTTTTATTCTAACATCTACCTTGAAGTTGCGTTGTAGCATTCATTCACATTAAATATTTTATTGATATGTTTTGATTTATATACTTATAATTATTAACAATAAAGAGATATTTGCATACATATGAACTGCCCTATGTAGTTTTATCTATTGTGATTTCTTTATCTTAAAATTACTACATTGTTGTAATATTATAACATGCATTAGTGTCAGGTAATAATCACTAGTACATTTTCTCTTATGTATGAGAGAGTATTTGTCTAATTTTATATACATTCATCTTTCCAGAAAAAATTTAGAAGTTTTTGCTTTGATTTATTCTTTAACAAAAAGTAAACAATGGTAAAATTATGACCAGTTAACATAAAATGGTACCTTGGGAAAATGATCATTTTTATAATAGTTTTATCCTTTGTAAACATGTTGAATATTTGAGTCTTTTATGTTCTTTTCTGTATTTTTATTTTCTCAAATACTGCATATTCCTTTTGTAAACATAATTGCATATGAAATGCAACATTCATGTGACATCAGCATAAAACATACATGGTATTTTATAGTATTTGTCAAACTGGATATAATACATCAACAAAAATTCTAGCTCCTAGCATTTACATTTTACAAAATTTAATAATTACTTCTTCCTCTTTAGCCATGCCCCTTGGTTTCAACTCTGAAAGAATGTGGCTGTATTCTCATGTACATTTTCTGTAATTTTAGTCTCTGTTTCCTGTATGGGTGTATCATATACATATGATTACAAAACAGTTTCTACAAATGGATAATAAAAGCTTAAATTATTATTTTCCTTTTTTTTGTGAATGCATTTATTCCACATATTCATCAATACTATTTAATTCCTCTATATGATGTGATTTTATTCAATGTTACTTAATTTCTAAAGATTTTGAGTTTTTATTATTATTGAACACTTAGATATATCCTTTTTAAAGTGACTCTTCAATAATTTTCTGGTTTTCTTTTGCATTCTGTTGTATTTCTTCTTCTTATAAGTGTTTGATTATATGTGAGGAAATTAGGGTTTTTTACCTTGTCAGTTTTGCAGCTTTTAATGTAATCATTTGATGAATAGATGTTTTTGTATTAATATTTTGTAATTCATAAGTTTAAGTATTATATTGTATAATTTTTAAGACAACAAAACTATTTGTTTTCTATTGTGATATTAGGGATTCAACCAAAGTGTCTTAATGCTGAGCATATTCTCAGCTGTGTTTTAAACTTTATTTCCAGATGGGGTTTGCTCAGTTTCTTAAGTTGGCCTTAAATTTTGAACTTTATGCCTTAGACTCAAGAATAGTAGATATTTCAGGTGTGCACCACCATATGAACCCTATCTTTTGTATGTAAACTTTTGAGCTTTGTACTTTCTTATATATTGCAGTATTATTTATTAATAACTTATATTCAGCATTTAATGTGTCAAAATATACTGTTATGGTTTATGAGTGAAGGAATAAAATAGCATTTTTATTATCACACTCTTTTCCCAATACCCTAGCATGTATTAAGGGTTTTGTTGTTGGTGTTTTCTGTAGTTCCACCATTTATTTTATTATGRGGTTTACTCTGATTGATTTTACTTCATAACATCAATCATGTGGAATCATGGGTATTTTGGTCAGCAGTAGACTTTATGTACAACCATGTAWYTAGCAAATATCTTATCCATGTATTAGTTTATACCATCTAGATTCTGTCATTGCACTCAGAGAATTGGAAAATTGCAGAGGATACTTAGGATAAATTTTCCAGAGTGTATTTCCATCAAGTGAACAATCATTAAATATGCCTATATTTACAATTATATACTGTATAATTGATATAATTTTTATTTGTTGAATTTTCAAATTTGCTAGTGCTTTTTAAATTGTATCTGCCTTTAAAAAAATTTGTACTGAAGATTAAACCCAGGGGTGCTTAACAATAAAGCCACATCCTCAGTCCTTTTTTTATATTTTATTTAGAGACAGAGTATTGCTGAGTTGCTAATGCCTCACTAAGTTGCTCAATAAAATATATATAAGACAATATTATATATAATATTGTCTTAGAATTTATGATCCTTTTTTCTTTTACTCCTCAGTCACTGGAACCATAGTTGCCCATTACTAGACTGGGCTCATTTGCTTTTTAAAAGCACCAACATTGATATTGGTAACTCTTGTTATGTTTATCTTTAATAGCTTCTAATTTTGCTCTTTTTCTTAAGACTTTCTTTACTTTTACTTTTTAAATTATACTTTTTATTGGGATGGATGATTTGATAATAAATTCTAGTCATTTTATGGCTTACTAATTTTTTGTATGTTTTATTTTCACCTCAGGTATAGATGAATTCCAATTTTTCCAGCTGTATGAGGTTTAAGTGAAACATAATAACCTGTATGGATATTGTTAAAGAAATGGAACCACAATTTTACCCAGTTTTTTGACTGCACTGTATATGCCCAAAGGACATAAAATCAGCATACTACATTGACACAGCCACTTTAATGTTTATACCAGCACAATTCACAATAGCTAAGCTATAAAACAAAACATTCAATGATGAATGGGTCCATTGCTTATGTACACAATAAACTATGAATCGGCCATAAAGAAGAAT